ATATCGCTCAGCTCTAGTTGGTGATGTCATTGCGCGTCTTTCTTGCGCTCACTAGGAATGTTTTGACACTTCATCTCGGTAAGATACGCCGTGCCCCAAACTGCATACTAGCACACTAAATAATGTGTTAAAAAAATAGCTCATATACCATTAGAAGTGCACTCATTAGTGTACTGTGTGAAGTACAGAAGTGTGTGGTCGCGGTGATAGTTGTGCTAGCAAGCTAGTTAGCTAATGTTAGTGTTTAAAGCCATCTTACTTTATGTTATGAGCTGTAACATTTTCTTCTCTGGAATTGTTAACGGAGCTGGAACAGAGAAGCAAGTAACAATTATTCACAGCGACCCTGTTCACTTTCCAAATAACGTTTACAGCTTTAAACACTGCATCGTTGTCTTAATGTCGAGGCCACTGATGCATTTAAATTCGGCGAACGTTTGGCTCCACTTGCGAACAGTCTCACGCGGTAGTTCTCAGCAGACATACAAGCCAGCTGGATGAAGTGTCGAAATGAAATGTTTACACAAAATCGTTCGTTTAACTGTTCATAGCGAACAAGTTTGCCACAAATGTTCGCCACTTTCCCATCCGCTCCATCAGAGTGCATCTTCTCTGCTGCGGGGAATCTCTGCTCTTAGGGTCTCTCTCAGGAGCACACAGAGACGCACACAGAGACGCTGACTTTCCTCCGTTTCACTAAAGATCTGTGATTTGTAGAATTAATTTGCAACAGAGTGTAGACAGACAGCAGAATGCACAAACCACAGTTTCTATTTAGAATTTAAATTTAGATTGTTGTCTGATTTAGTTTTTTGTTTTTCTTTTTTGTTTTTTTTTTTGCTGCTACTTTGCACATCCTTGGCTTTAAATTTTGACAGGAAAAAGATATTGGAGTTTTATTTATCTTTTGTATTAGCAGGAAAGTTCACTAAAACAGTGAATTTTTGAATAAGTTATTCATCTTTGTTGTCTTCACTGTTACTTAGCAAATGCATAAAACTAAAAAAGCTACATTTAAAAGCTGATAGCTACATAAGTATTATTTGGAAATGTAGTGATTCATAATCCGGATAATCGATTATTCGTTTCAGTAATTGATAGATTATTCAACTATCAAATTAGTCGTTTGTTGCAGCCCTAATACATGCACACCAGTAGACAGAACTTAACACATCAGCAGTGTGGGATTACAAGAAGTAAAAATGCACAAGGCAGAATCTGTAACTGCAGTATTTTGTGGGAAAAACATGCTAACAAGAGCCCCTTACCTCAGTGGCTGAGCCAGGCTTCTTTCAGTAATCACTCGTCTGCCGCTGTGTGCATTGTGACGCATTTCCCTTCAGAAATAGTGCAGCTCTCTTGTTTCTTGTAGTATTGTTTGCATTCGCTTCTCGTGAGCCCCACATCAAAATAAGTAAGATAACAACTGAAGACTTGTTCTAAGTGCTAGTGTGTTTCTTGTTGCACAGCACTTTCAAAGCCACTATCTCTACCACTACCTCCCAAAGTTCCATCAGCAGATTTATTATGTAACATGACTCCTTTGCCATCGTCATTAGATATAGCTACGCTAGCTAGAAGCCATTGCTAACAAACTGTTATCCAGCTAACTTAAAGTAGCTTTCTGCATCACATTTAGCTAACGCTACAGGCCATGCACCGTCAACAATGTAATTTCTCCTACTTCAGCTTAGCATGAACAGCTAATGTTAGCTGGCACATTATGCCAGAGATACAGCATGGCTCTCCCACACCACAAACACCTGTAAAACAGAAATCAAAATGTCACAGCATAACAACAATGTTAAGATACAAGTCATGATGTGAGAAGCGAAATGTGGATGTTTTCTGAAGTACTGCTTTAATAATTGTAATGTGACTAAAACAGTAATGCTGTGTGGCTAACACAGCTAGATCGCTAACACAGCTAGCCAGCTAGCTAACGTTTGCTACTCTTATGAAGCTGATTTTCCTAGAACTGCTAATGGTATTATGCCATTAGCTACAAGATAGCTCAAACGATGTCTGTCAAATAGACGCTACATAATAAAGTTTTTCTTCCCTTGTATAATGTTACAGAAATTGCTGACATGCTGTAAATGTGTCACAGAGAGCTAATGAAAGCTCCCTTGTTTGAAAATACAGTTACAGTTAGCAGTGGCTTCTATTTCTTCTAGCATAGCTAGCTAAATAGAAACGAAGTCTGCCAAAATTCACACTACATATTAGGGGTGGGAATCTTTAGGCACCTCACAATTCGATTCGATTACAATTCAGAGGGCTGCCATGAAATTATAAAACGATTATCGATGCATCTTGATGCATCTTTTTTTTTCTATACAGCGTTTCTACTTTGTCACTGTCTGAGGACTTGGTACTTTTAAAGCAAAGTATTTGTAATGATCCATAATGAATTTACTTCACAATATCTTTTATTAATAAATCAAATGAAAGCGATGTGGCAAATGAACTGGAAGGCTCTCATTCACTGCTCTGATTTGGAGCACATGAGACGCTGCTGCCATTCATCTGCGATAAAATGCGCAGTTGCGGTGAAATAAGATCCAGTGTCAGTGGGTGTCCACGCAGCACGTAACAGCCGTCCTGCCCGTTTTCTTTAGTGATTTTATATCTTTGGTTTTGGTCTCGTTGTAGAGACGGGAGTTGGGGGGCGGGGTATCGCTGTGTCAATAAAATATCTTCGAGACAGGACAAGCGCAATATAGCGCGAAAGCCCTGTTTCGGCATGCAGACTGCAGGTCGCTTAGAAACGATGCGTTATTTGCATTTATAAGCACTGCAGTTGGTTTCCTGGTACATTAAATCTGCAACGAGAGACTGTGAAACACTAAACAGTTGCGAAGATGAAGTCGCTTCTCTTTCGAATTTCCCTGTTCCACCTTAAATGGTGGCGCATTTACATTCGGTCAGAATTTAAGGTGGAACAGGAAAATTCGAACAAGAAACTGGAGAATAAGAAGCGACTTCAGGCTCGTAAAACAGTTGAACGCTGAGAGACATTTTACGATAAGCCGATCTACTTTTGAGGAAAAGTTGCTGGAGATGTGAGGAAAGTGGCTATAGCTAAAGCTTAAAGCAGAGCAAAGTAAGTCTGCGCTCTCATTTATATTTTTTAGTCTACACTAGGACATTAGCACATACTGAGACATATTGGACATAAAATGTTGTGACTCCCAAGGTGGTTTGATTTTTGTTGTAAGGACAAAATGGCTCTTCTTAACATTTGGGTTGTGACTTCTGATCTAACCTGGCTTTTAATGCAGAGGGTGCCGGTCGGATTTCTCGATCATCCAGTGGTGTTTTTGTTATGTGCCGCCACAGACTGTCTGGGCGCTGCACTTCCACACTTCCAAGTTCCGCCTTTTGCGTTCCATCAACATAACGTTATCAATTAAATATTTAGAAAATCGATTTTTGACATTTGTGAATCGATTCGTCCACAAAAGAATCGATTTTTTTCCCACACCCCTACTACATATACAAGTTATGCTTTAATTTTATAATGCAGGTATTTCAAAAACTGGGGTCATGTTGTACAAATACACAGACTGCTTGATGTGCGCATCTGCAGCATCAGAGTATTTTAGCTCAATTTAAAGTTAAATCAGTGCTTCCGTTCACGTCTTATGCTGACTTGTTGTGACAGTGCACAGAAACTAAAATCTGGACGTTGCAGCTCAGTGCGCTGTGGTAGACTACATTAACATTTTGATATCACTTCTGCAGTAATTATATGGAGCTCAAGCGAGTGTTACACTTGGAAAAACCAGAAACACAAGAGCAGCACTGAGAAGAATGCGGAAGCGTTAGTGCAAGGAGGTCGTTAGTCCAGGTTGTGATTGCGTGAGTGGAAGAAACCGCCAGACTCTCGGCATAATGATGCCCTTCAGCCTTGATTTTGCATCATTAGCGTAGCAGCCCGGGCCTGTGTGTTCACTAGTGTCGCCTGCGGTGCACCTCTGTCGGTCAGCTGTATCCCTCAGTAGCAGGGTAGCTGCTTCCACCAAGCCAAAAAACACTGAAATTTGCTGCTTCTGACACAACGGTGATATTTACTGACATCCAGCAGAGTCTGAGATGTTGCGCGAGTGAACGAGATGCACGTATAAAGACCGTTTTTGCTGATTGTGTGTGTGTGTGTGTGTGTGTGTGTTGTATATATATATATTATATATATATATATATTATATATATATATATATATATATATATATAATATAACCCCAATTCCAAAAAAGTTGATACGGTGTGTAAAATGTACATGAATGTAAATAAAAACAGAATGCAATGATTTGCAAATCTCATAGACCCATATTTTATTCACAATAGGACATAGAACACATATCAGACATTGAAAGTGAGACATTTTCCATTTCATGAAAAACATTAACTCATTTAGAACTTGATGGCAGCAACACATCTCAAAAAGTTGTGACAGGGTAAAAGGCTGTAAAAGGAAGTGGTATTAACAAAAAAAAACAGCTGGAGGAGCAATTTGCAACTAACTCACATATGTATGTGTGTGTATGGGTGTGGGTGGGTGAAATTTACAAATGTAGCTGTATAAATATCAGGACTTATATCAGGCTAGTTAGGTCAGATAGAGTTAGCATCGGTATTGGCATATATTAAATATTTTAAGGATCAGGTATTGGTATTGGAAGAGAAAAAGTGGTACTGTGCATCTCTGTGACTTCTGTTATTCATGTATGTTGTTAATTATTTACCATTGCTGGATCATGTATAAGCTTTGATTCAAGGTTGTTCAAGATGCTCACAGCGCATAATAATAAAGCAAAAAAAGTGATATTATTTAAGGAGTCATTTGCATTTTGTATTTTTTTTGGTAATATCACTATTGCAAAAGACAGTATTGTGATGACAAACAATACATTGTACAGCCTTAAGTGTAAGGTTTTTTTAACTTCCATGATGATATCGTATTTATTTTACTTCTCTCTGATCTCTTTGTTTATCAGAGAAAACAGAAAGGAGTTTGCCACAACCTCTCCATCTCCTACGGATCTCCAGGGAGTCCCCCGACTCCTCCCTGAGGAGACATGGAGGCCCAGGGGGAAGCTGGGATCGGGGGACTGTTGGCCCCAAGCCCTCAGAGTGAGGCGGTGACCCACGAGATGGAGGAACTGTCCCTGCAGCCCAGCCAGAACCTGCCCCCGCTGAATGAGCGCAAGAATGGTGAATCCACTGTTATTATTATAATTACAATTGCTTAATATATCAACTGTTATTCAAATAATTGACTGCAGCTTCATTAGTAAGGTCCAGGTGACAAGTAATATATTTTTTTTGTCTTCTATGATAGCCAAAATTATCGCCCGTTACTAAAAAATGTCCTCACTATCACCATCTTATCGACATAATGAACACACATTGGTTTCCTATTATTGAACAGAACCTTTCTCTTGCAATGAGCTTGCTCAGACAATATAGTGTGTTTGTAATTCACGTCATCCACTGAATTATTTTGACCTATTACAGCTAACGAGGCTTTGTTGGGTTGTTACAGCTGTTTTTTTGTTTGTTTGTTTGTTTTATTGACAGTAGTACTAATTAGGGTTAATTTACTTATTCAATGCAGTGTAACAGTGATAAGGTATACCAAAGTATTTAAAAGTGATGACAGTATTTCCAAATCATGTGCCAAAAAGAAGGGAAAAATCAGAGCCAGGAACCACAAACCATGACAGATATCCTCTAAATTAGTGTTATTTTAACATCAGTTAGCTGGAACCAGCCTGTGCTGTGGTGTGAGGCACCTTTGGCCTGCTAAATAAGCTATAGCTAACTTACAGGTTTGATTTTGACTGGTGCTCTGAACCAAGTGTTTATTGAAGTGTTGATTATTGTTCTAGCCAATCTAATACTAACAAACTCACCTCTCCTAGATAGCAGCACTGTTTAACATTTTAGCAATTGTTAGATGGCTTGAACAATAAGTACACTGTGTTCACTTATTTGGTAACCATGTAAGCAAACTAAACTTTCTGATTATTTTAGATTTTGAAATAACACGACAAGATGGTGCAAAAGCGACATAAATACATTTACGTTACAATACGATAATACCATATACCCTGATAATATCTTGAGATAAAGGTATAAAACAAGTGGATACCACCCAACCCTAATGTTAAATCTAGCTTTTTCTAGACCACGGTGATATGTGGGTAATATGTGGTGGAACAAATTCTTTAGCTTAGAAAATGTAGACATGAAAATAAGAGATAGATAAACAGAGCAATGTATATTGTTCTCAAAAAATAAACTCAATTTTACAGTGATTTTCACTATAGTTGATATAATTCAAATCAGTTGATTAGTTGGATTAACATCTAGCCAGGCTTTCTTTTTGTTGTTGATTTACTTATTTAATGAATTATTCTGTAATACAGGAACTGTGTAAACTAAAACACAGGTAATATTTGCCATCAACAACAGATTTGACGTTTCCTGAATACTATTTGGCACCTTGTCATCTTTTGGCATCTTTTGACCCTTAGCCCAAAGCAACCACAGGAGAATCCCTCACCATCCCTTAAAATATGAGGATTCCACAGTGCTCACATTACTTTGGTATATATTTTGAGCCTGGAATCTTGATTGGCATGTGAAAAGTTGCAGAACTTTGCAGAACCACATGCAGAAGCTCCCAGTTCTTTGTGGAAGGTTGTTCTTAGGTCAATGTGTGAATGGTCGTGAGGTCTGCTGGGGCCACTCTGTCATTGAGAGGAAGTGTTTGCCAGTCACTCATTTGGTATCTCCTATAGCCACAGGGGCTGTTTTACAGTGTTACAGGCTCAGTTACCTTTTACCCCTGTAAGTCAGTGTCTTAGGGCTTTAGGTTTGTATTAAAATTTATTCAGTACAAGCTAGGGCTGCACAAGTTTGTTAATCATCGTGATATTGTCGTTTGCTGTACTTATATTGCTCCAGGGAGTCCGTTGTCTCTGTTCAATCACTTCTACTGTGTACTGTGGGCAGCTTGACCAGTCACACTTTTGGATGATTATTTTGATCAAAATAATGCAAGTAATCTTTAACAGGGTTATGTTATTGATTCACAATGTGTTTTAAATACCTTGCAAGGCATATCACAATCACAGTATGTAGCAATCTAATCATAATAGTATTTGTATCATGCAGATCTAGTAAAAGCTCTGCAAATGACATTCAGGAAAAAAGTTAAAAAGTTGAAGACGCAATGCGGGGAGGGGTTACGTGTAGCTCCCGCCTCTCTGCACCTCCTAACAGTGTAAGAGTGGAAAAGGTAGGTTGTCTGCTCTGCAGTAAGAGAGAAGAAGAAAGCAGTGGATTCTGGAAAGGCCATTTGCAGTGTAAAGATGTGAGGAACTTGACTTGTCTTGGAACTCACTGGGGCCTATCGAAGAGCGCTCAGAAATCAGCAGCACTGCTGAGATCAGCATGGCCTGTCTGGAAGTGGAGCACCATGCGGTCTGTTGGAACACCTCCAGTTTAGGTGCTGCCCTTTATACCTTATGAGTTGGATATAATCAAAATCGTTTTAGTGAAAAGTCATAACTATTAATTTCCTGTTTTTTCAGTTGTCTTTTTGCTTTATTCATGTTGTCCTGAAACTGAGCCGGTAAAAGGTAAACTGTTCTGTGTTAAGTTAGGCCTTGACAATATTCATTTGTTTATTTTTAAATATCCCAATATACATTATTTTAAAAAATCGTCGGAATGGTCCAGAATTTAGTTTAGAAAGTTTCATCCTGTGTGCGTCCCCCACCCAAATGTCACAGGATCCTCCTAATTATGAGGTCATTGTGTACTCAAAATAGTAATATTGTTACAGGCTGACATCGTTGTGCATTCAATTTTTACCATAAGACTGGTGATCGTATAAATACTCCATTAAAACTCATTAAGATTCATCAAGTGTGGTAGTTAAGAGGCTTTGGCAGTCGTAGCTGTTTGGGTAGATGGTATAGTATATAGATAATATGTAATATATAGTGTCACAGTATAATATTAGAATATAGAATTTTATATGTATGTCTAGTACTTCAGCAGTACAACAGTAACACCACCAGCTGCTCAAATTGTAGATTACTACTGCCAAAGCCACTTAACTACCATATTTGACAAAGCTTGCTTGTTTGTGGGAGGTATTTTTGGTGAGGTTGACAGTCTTATGATGTCAGATTAATACACAGCAGTGTAGCATTAATGCACAGCATGTAGCATTGTTTGCAATTCGACTCTTTAACAAACTTGATTGTCAAGAGGATCCAGTGACATTTTGAGTAAAAATTAATAAAGTATATCGTCTTGAGTACATTTTTGTTTACAACATGAAGTGCCAGTTTTCAAAAACACATTTTTTTTTATTTTTAATATTGCATTAAATTTGACTTGCACACAAATTCTTTCATACCATGCACATGCAATTAAGTGTCTATAATACCAGTCACAGTCTCTTATAGTCACTATGCAAAAATAATATTTCTGGTCAGGACTCTTGCCATCATGGTGGTAACATCACCACCCAAGCATACAAGCAACATTAGGAAGATAGTTAGAATGCTACAGTATAATATTAGAGATTATTATGCACTTTTGCTGTGTTTACAGACAGATTCTGCTTCTGGTAGAGTTGAGTTATTGCGACAACTGTGGGTATTTTTTTCCAGAACAGACAAAACAGGAAAAGTCTGTGATTGTTGTAGATAGTGAGACATCACGCTTTGATCAGTGGTGCTCATACGCCTTGTGTGTGAACTCTTTAGAGCAGACAAGACCACCTTGTAGACCTTAAAAGCTGGGTTCCTCATGTCTTCTCTGAGCAGGCAACTGAGTCACTGGGGCAGCTGCGTGGGAAACTGAGTCTGTAGCTGAAGTCAACCCTTGCCTACTAGTGAGAGCTACTGTAGAGATGTTTATTATTGTCTGCCCTGGGTTTCAGATCACCAAGAGACAGTGACTGCTGTTCTCTGTGTATGTGTGTAACCACCCATTTTGCAATAATTTTGCCTAATTCTGAGGTGCCTGAGACATATGTGATACTGTTAGCTGTGTTTTTTTCCAGTGAGATCAGCGAGTAATACTCTGTTCCTAAGTTAGTATTCACCGTGCATTAACACAGTGATGAAGTGCCAAGTCATATTTTACACACATTTAGTCATTGCTATAAACAGGTCAGCAATGTGAGAAATTTCTTGCCTTAGCCTACAGGAAAATCCACATGATTATTACGGTAGATATTAATCCTTATGTTTATTTTGTATTTTATTTTATATTTGTAATGTTAATGATCTTTCCATTAATCCAGTCTTTAAATATCTCATCAGTTTTAGTCACCTCAACTGGCCAAGGAGCCATCAAATATTTTAGTCAGTCATCTCAAGACTTAATCAAATGTTTTAGGGTGTGCTCACGCTAAGCAGTCTGTATTGGACCCAAGCATGTTTGACCATCAAAGTATTCTTTATTTGACTAGTGTGATTGCTCCATACCATTGAGCTTCCGTGCCCAGGCCCACTTAAAGGTTTGTGCACGGTTCAATTGGAGTCAGGCATAGTACACATCTAGTGTGATTACTAACTAAACCCGAGCACAGAACTCAAACATGACGTCAATGATGCGATTGTCACACTTTATTTGAGAATATTTGGTTTAATAAAGGGTCAGGTTCTTACCTTCTTCAACAATGTGAATTGTAGTTGGCGAGTAAAGCTGCTAATTCCTCTCTCAATGTCAGTTGCCTTTGAAAAAATCTTCTGTACTTGAAGCATGATTAATAGAAAATTGTTGCATTGCATAATCGATAAATCTTCAAAGCATGTTGGAGGACTGTGTGTATATCAGCGAGTCAAAAATGACTCCAAATAAGCCACAATGTACAATCATGAACTACATTGTGCTGTGCAAGAGTGCTTTTCTTCAACACAGAAAGTTGCATCTTGATGACGGCTTGGGCCCAGAATGTTAAGTGCAGTGTGAGTGCTGGCAAGCGGGGAAATGGGGAGGGGGACAGTCATGCTCAGGCATAGTGTGAGTACACCCTTAGTCAGTCTTACTGATGTAATCAAATTTTTGAAGCAGTGTTACTGGTTTAATCAAGTATTTTAGTTTGTTTTTCTTAGCGATGACACTGAAACGCTAGCAGATATCCATCCAGTATTTGGTACTGTATCTGTTCGAATTAGAGGAGAAAAAGTGCTGTCATACCATCTTTAGTCTCACTGTTTTATTCAGTCTAATTGGTTTACTCAAATGTTTTAGACAGGCTTTCTGGTTTACTTAATGTTTTTTCATAGATGAATTGCAGACAGTGAAAGTTGCTGATTACAACTACATAAATAAAGTTGTTCCAGTTAGGTTGTTGACCCAATACTCAAAATGATCATAGTTGTCATTAAATCTCACAACCAGACAACTGCTTTTTATAACTGGTGGTTTTAATCAGTCAAGAATTAAACCGGGCATGTGGTGACTGAAGAATATTTTCCAGAGTTTTTCCCAGAAAACAGCATCAAAAAGGTTCTCCTAAATCACTTGTTTTGGTTACGGGACAAATGTGCTCGTTATTGAATGGTGGACTTATGTAATGCTTGTATTAGGAAGACAAGTGTGTGGGATTTCTTTGTTAGGTTGAATTTCCCTCCATGTTTGTATATGTGTGTGTGTGAATGCAAGAGTGAGTCCAGGTGGAACAATTGATATCCTGTCTCATCGTGTGAGTGTATGGGGCTATGTTAGTAGCTGGCTGTGGAGATTGACCTCCTGTTTTTCTTTCTAACAGTCCTTCAGTTGCGGCTGCAGCAGAGGCGCACACGCGAGCAGCTTGTTGACCAGGGCATCATGCCACGTGAGTACAGCCATTGAACTAGTACTGGATGCTACTAAAATTCATTACACTTTTATAAAATTAATGTTCCTAAATGGTTCTATGGTTCTAGGAATAACCTTTAGTTGGTACAGAATCTTTACATTACATGGAATTTCTTTTAAAAGTTTCTTCACACTCACATCTTATTTACAGAATCTTTTATTGAAGCTGTCCAAAGTTTCTAAAGGGAACCAAATTGGTTCTTCTGCATAATCGCTCAAAAAATGTTTTATTTTTAAGAGTATTGCAGTCAGGGGTGGTAAGAGTGCTGAAGATTCCTACTTACATAAAGCACTGCTACTGTAATGATAATTTACTATAATATTTTTTTTTTAATTTTTTTTTTTTAATTTTACCCGATTTTCTCCCCAATTTAGTCGTCTCCAATTCCACCCGCTAGTTAGGACTCCCCCAATCATACGATGCTATCAACGCTAGGAGGGTGAAGGCTAACACAGGCTTCCTCCGAGACCTGTGAAGCCAACCACCGCTTCTTTTCGAACTGCCGCTCACGCAACGTCACTGGACAGCCGAACGTGCTCGGAGGAAAGCGCCAACCGCCAGATCTGTTACGTCAGCTAACAGACGCCTGCGCTGACTAGCATCGCGCTGAGTGATGGGGGGAGAAGGAGGGGCCATCCCACCCACCCAGAGAGAGCGAGGCCAATTGTGCTCTCTCGGACTCCCGGCTACGGATGGCTGTAGCATCACCAGGGATCGAACTCGAGATCTCCTGATGATAGGGCCAACGCTTAGACGGTTGCGCCACTCGGGAGCCTACTATAATATTTTAACTAGAGTACAAGTTAAAATAATAATAAAAGAAATTGCTCAAGTAAGAGTAAATAAGCAGTTCATTGGAAATCTTCTTGAGTAATTGAGTTACTTCTTTGTATATCCACAATCTAAAAATATTTCTGAGTTGACTTGGCTATAGCACTGGAAATAATCTGTACAAAGAAAACTAAAGCAAACATATTACACAAAGGAAAAAAAATTGTGTACTGAGACTAGAGCTGGGCGATATGGCCAAAAATGTTATCACGATAAACAAAATTCATATCGTTCGATATCGATACATACCGCGATAAATGTCAAATCATTATTTCTTTCAAGTTTGAAGGCTGATTTTTGGTCCTGGGGGGTTAATTGCTGTTTTAAACTATCCTTTATGGTCGGAACACGACAAACACTCGCCAAACAGTGGAACATTTCGCAAATCTGTCATGGGAGAGTGGGAGAAAGTGTCTGGTGAGCTGTTTTTACCAGTTGGAAAAGCATGGCTGTTTTGTAATAGTCGTAATTTAAGAAAAAAAACAGATTATTTTTAGCTGGTGACGAGCGCTTGGCTACCCCACTACAAATGACATCACAGTATTCAGACACCAGCTAGCGACGACTGGATTTCTCTATACTATCGTAGTAGTTTAAGTGGTGAACCGCAAAATATAACACCAGACAAACAGAGTCCTGCTTTTAGGTACGTTTAAACTGAAAGCGGTGCTTTTGTGTCTTGTTTTATCTACAGTATCATCAGTTCTCCATGTTGTGTGAGTGACAGAGCGCTGCTTCAAGTTAGCCAGCTGCTAAAAACAGCTAGCCTGGAAAGCTAGCCCTCTCCCGCTCTCCAGTGCCTCACAGCTTCCTCAGTTTACTTTTGTTTAAATCTGGGCTGTAACGAACATGAACCCACTTCTTTCTTCCACTTTCTTTGCTTGGGAATGCACTCATACTAAAATATGACTGTCCGAGCGCTGTAACAGCGCGTTACTTGTGAGGATTGTGATTTAACGCTGCTAAAGCTGGTTAGGATGTTAGGAAAGAGGTGAGTTCGCTGTAGGACAGTACAGTTACACCACTGACCTCGTCACTCACACTCGGTCACAGGAGAACAGATCGCCGGTCGCTCCACTCAAACAGGAAATATATAACTCCATGTTTCAGCCGTTGCTAAAGACTCATCTTACTCGTCACCCCCTCCCTCTCTAATCATGTAGAAAAACTCGGAAGTGCGCCCTCTCCTGGCGACAGCTGAGTAGTGTCGCTTTCCTTGCAGTAGAAAATGCCACCAAGGCTTTCGCTAGAACGTGGAGGTGTGACAATGGTGTATTATATCGAACATGTTGTATCGCTCTATCGAGGAAAAGTTACATCACAATAATTTCTATTTAAAGATTTCGAATCTTCATCGTTTTATCGCCCAGCCCTAACTGAGACTGATCACAATATGCTCTGCTAGTGCACATTTGCACATCTGAACTGTGTAGTGTGTAAGGAACAAAGTTTACATAAAGCTACATGCATTTCATGATTAAATGATTACATAAGGCATTCTAATTTAACAGTTTCCAACAAGGTAGTTTAAAATCCCTGGAAAGCTGTGCATAGTTTGTTACGGTTAAATTTAATCCTTTATTTATTTATTTATTATTAATTTTTTTGGGTTTGGAAACCCAGATTACTTGATTAAGAGTTAAGAATAACATTTGATACACAAAATTTAATAGGACTATTAGTAAAAATAACATTCTTAATTACACAATTAACAATGTCATTTTTAGTGACAGTCCTAGTGCCCATTAGCTCCTTGAACATTAGCTTGCATTAATAGATGTCAACCTCTAGAGACAGTAAACATTACATACACTGCCTTCAAACTGTATAAATTCACTGATATCTGTATAGTAAATTTCTACCATTAAAATTATTAGTAACAACAGGAATTTATCCAGGGTTGATTTTCTTTATTGATATATTCCTCTGTTAATTATTCTAATTACTAATTGCATACTCGTACACATCAGAAATGTGGTTTTATTTGGCAGTTAAAGTTAAATGCTACATAACCTCTCTCATAGTTAAATACACAAACTGCAAGGCAGAGAGACAAATAAGAGAGAGCTGGAGGGACAGAGAGAGAGGCTGCATGCTATAATGAACTGATAAAAGTCTCTGATGCTCTGATTGTCCGACAAGGTTGAGGAGTAAATTTATTTTTGCAAATGCATTTTTAGATAAGTGACAGTCCATTTGTGGCACCTTACGGTCTGAATGGATTTGTAGCTCTCAAGAAGACAAAACTGAGAAAATGGAATAGACAAAAAGAAGAAAATTTGCAAATCAGACAAAGAAGCTGCTGGTGCTTTCATTACAATCGTCTGGTCACTCCAGAGCCCAGACCTCATAATCATTCAGTGTGCTTGAGCATGCTTGTGTTGTGAGAAGCTGAAAATACAACTAACCCTAAGACCAACCATATGAGTTATGGAAAAATATTCTTGCAGATTCCTTTAAAAAAAAAAAACTGTGGTAATGCATATGCTATTTTATCTGAAATCCATCTTTTTACAAGTATATGTCATCATTCAGTCCTATCATACTACATATTAAGCTGAGTTTGGCATGCAGTCTTTTATAAAGCTCTGAGCAGCTCATTTTATTGTTACTTATAACCACTCTCATGACCACCCTGGAAAGGCCGAAATGTGGAGCACTTAGAGCCACAGAATACACACTCTTTTCTGTTCTGTGGCCTAGTTAAACTGAAGATTAATGTGCAGCTTTTTGATTGATGAGATTCTATCACTCACTTTAGCTTGAAAGTTCACAGCAGATTAAGAGATAGAGGCCTAGTCGTGAATGGCTTGTTATGTACAGAAGTGCATTAGCCCCACTGGATCTACCCCATCTGTGCTGTGTGTGTAGTCATACCACTGTGAGAGATAAAAGAGTGTAGTATGTGTTTGAAGTGTGTGAGACAGAGGCTCTGTGAGAGTGTGTGTGTGCATGTGTGAGTGTATATGTGTTACACTGTGTTTGTTGTGTGCAGCCCTCAAGAGCCCTGCGACATTTCATGAGCAGATCCGGAGCCTGGAGAGAGCCAGGGTAAGAGCAAGGAACCTTTTTCCTCCCCTAAAACCACTTAAATCAGGGTTTCAGCATGATGCGATTCATATAAAGGGCTCACATCTTTTAAGTAACCTGGGCCCCAATAAAAATATTATATATATATGTTTTCAATTTAGAAAATACTCATTCCTTTTTTTAGTACTAAACCATACATTTTCTACTATTTGCAATATACTGGATATTCCTTTGTTTTTAAATGTGCTATGGTGTGATGATGTAAAAGAGTTAAAGGAATGGTTTGGCAAACAAATTTACACAATTTTCCACTTACTGTAGATATAGTCTATCAGCCAAGAACTGCTTGGAGTTCAAATGTTGTCTCTTTAGTTTAGAACGGTGAGCCACAAGGCTTATCTTGTCTTATCTTAACATTGCTACATACACGAAAAGTAAGTAGTCATCTAAATAGCCCATGTTGTTTCCATAAAAATACATCACTGGAACTTCTTTCAGCCCACTCAAACAACATCCAGGTCTTCATTAAGGTCACACAGACGTGCCGATTTGTTTGTTCATTGTGTCTTAAATTACATTGACTAGTTTGTGTGACCTTAATGAACCTATAAACAGTTTGAGCAAGTTAAGAGAATTTTTGATGATGTATTTTTATGGAAACTGTTTGGGCTGTCTCACGCCTGCCTCAAACTATTCTGAGTTGTTCTCTGTGTGATTCTATTATGTAAAAAAATACAAAAACTTAAAAGAACAAAATTCAGACTTTAAGATGGCTGCAGTTTTTTTAAGCCCTGTGACATACTTTTGTCCATTTTTACAGATAACAGCATGTTATGCCTTGTCAGAAATTGCAAAAGCAAGTCTGTCTGAGATCACAAAATAACTGTGATTAGGGGCAAGCGTGTGATGATTTAAGAATGTAGTCCCATTACTTGTAGACTTTTTGCTGTCTGCTGTATATCTGTTGTTCACTATTGAAACATCACCACTGTTTTCAGAAATAAGGGTCCTTATATACTGTGCTATGTTTTAAGAGGATAATTCATTTACTAATATGTTACTTTAATACCTCCTGACTTTTTCATAGACTGAGAATTTCCTAAAGCACAAGATCCGGAGTCGCCCCGAAAGGGCTGAGCTTGTGCGCATGCACATCTTACAAGGTAGGCCCTCCTTCGTCTACATGAGTTAACATTTATACTCATTTTCAAACAATCTCTGTCTTTACAACATATGATCTGAGCTGAATGACTTTGATGACTACTGTACTGTTAACCAGTTTGGTTAGTTGTTTTGTTGTTTTAGTATTTTAGTAACAGTAACAACAGTATGTTTCTTATAGTTGTTTACAATGTTTACAAACTGATGTTCTGGTGATTGCTGAGGACAGCAAATAAGGCTTCATAACTGTGTTGATGGCTGTTGGTGATGGTGTTTTGGCAGAGACGGCGGCGGAGCCCTCGCTGCAGGCTACACAGCTGAAACTGAAGAGAGCTCGACTAGCTGATGACCTCAATGAGAAAATTGCCCAGCGGCCTGGTCCAATGGAACTGGTGGAGAAAAACATCCTGCCTGTGGACTCCAGCGTCAAAGAGGCCATCATTGGTAACTTGAGTTGTTTGTGCTTGGGATGAGCATTTTAACCATGTAAAAAAAAAATTGAAAACATAATATTTGAAAATAATAATAATCTTTATTTGTATAACACTTTTCATGCTGGTTGCAGCTCAAAGTGCTTTACAGACAGGAAATTATGAATACTTATGATTGCTATGATTGTAAAATCACGTAAGAAAATGCATGGCACTCTGCTCCTTATGTTCATAATATGCAGTTCCCTGCGGAGTGTTCTTTCAGAAATAGATTGTGAAGGACCTGACTTCTAGAGGCAATTCTTGTCTGGAAGCGAAGCGATTTTTATTCACAAGCTGTGAAACACATGGGCAGTCCCTGTCCATCAGTTTCGTCTTTCAGTCACAATTCTGAGGAGAATTTCCTGTAGACTGGGATTTTTGCCACTGCTGGTAGACCCGTATGACTGTACGCTTCGATCCACCCTGGAAATTCAGCTGCTTCCTTCACATTATGGCCTTTGCCATGCTGAAATGCAATCACTCCTTTTTGCCAATCATTAACATCTGCTTTGCGACCCATTTTCCACACATCAGATGAGACATTCACTGCACTGCCACCTATCTATAAATCCCTGTACCATCTATGAATCCTGTCGCACACCCCGCAGGTATTTTTAGCCTGATGATCCTCGTGCAACACCGTCTGCAGGAGCCTGAATTTACTACCACCTTAAACACGCAAGGTGACTAATTTTTTGTCCGAGAGAACAGTATACTATAGTTAAAACATCACTTTGAACATAATGAAAAAACATCTTAAGGAGAGAAGTAGAAACAGGGTTAATATCGCATGTGGATGAACTTAATTTTTTTAATAACAGTTGTAATCTCTGATAAACACCACTTTGAGAATCACTTTAATAACAACCCACATCGCATGTGGAAAGGTATTAAGGTACTGACTGACTACAGCACCACCACAATACTGGCCAGCGATGATGCCACATCGCATGTGGAAAGGTATTAAGGTACTGACTGACTACAGCACCACCACAATACTGGCCAGCGATGATGCCTGCAGTTTTTTGACTGCTTTGACACACAGAGCAAAGAGTTCACCTCACTCATTAGTCCACATGCCGGAGGGCCCATACTGGTTCTGCAGCACTATCAAGTGAGGGCCACACTGAGGAAGGTCAATGCAGGCAAAACGGCAGGTCCAGATGGAGTGCCCGGCCGAGTATTGAAAGTATGTGCCGACCAGCTAACAGAGATGTTTACTGACATATTCAACCTCTTGCTACAACAAGCTATTGTTCCAACATGTCTTATATCCTCTACCATCATCCCAGTGCCCAAGAAATCAGCTGCAAAGTGCCTAAATGACTATCGACCAGTGGCTCAAACACTGAAATGCTTCAAGAAGCTTGTGCTCTCACATTTTAAAACCATCATCCCACCTGATCTAGATAAGCTCCAATTTGGTCAACTGCTCCATAGAGGATTCTATCACAATGGCATTACACATTGCTATGACACACTAGAACCAAACATTTGTGTGAGAATATTATTTGTGGACTTAAGTTCTGCTTTTAACACAGTCATTCCCCAAAAACTGGTTGGAAAACTGCTGTATGTTCATGGGTTATGGACTTCCTTACAGGCCAAGCACAGCAGGTCAAAATTGCAAGTCAGACCTCCTCCATCCTCATCCTAAACACAGGAACTTCACAAGGCTGTGTGCTGAGCCCTATGATTTTCACACGTTACTGTACCGTTATTCACACCTTCAATACCATAATCAAATTTACTGCCACCACAATGCAGACAATGAGGAGACATGAGGCGTTAGATGGAGCATCTGACCAGTTGGTACAGGGACAACAACCCGGTCCTTCAGAGACTAAGGGGGTTGTCATACACTAGGGGAACATGGACCTCAAGCACCACACACCTGGTTAAAAAAGCCCAACAAAGGCTCTTTTTCCTCAGGCAGCTGAAGCAGGCCCAGCTCCCACAGGAACTGTTAGTGAATTTCTACAGGAGCACCAGTGAAAGCATACTAACCAACTACACCATAATGTGGTATGCTAGCTGCGTGGCTGCTGAGCGTAAGGAACTGCATTGCCTGGAGAAAGCAGCACAGCGTATTGTTGGATCGGAACTCCCAAACTAGGACACTATTTACGCTAGTCGTCAGAGGAAGAAGGCTAGCTGCATCGGCACAGACTTCACACACCCATGTCCCTGGGTTGAAACCACGGCCATCAGGCAAACAGTTCAGGGCATTACAGTCTCACACTAGCAGACTGAGGAACAGCTTCTTTCCCAGAGCTGTGGCCTCCATCGTGCCCCTCCCTGCCCAGAGCTGACTCTTAAGGACTGTGAGCATGCACACTCATTTATACACGCCCATCAAGAACTGTGGCGTACACAGACAGACATGCATGATGTGTATGGTATGTACATGTATATATGCACACACCCACTTGGGTGATGTGTTTATCGATATCCAATCCTCTGTCCATTCAATTCTCTGTAAGTACGTAAATGTGGCTATGCACATTGGGATGTAAATTGTTTTTGTAGTTATGCCAAGTGTCACTTTAGGCGTTTGCTGCTATTACTGCTCTTTGTAACTTTCATTTTTATTTTTTTTTATTATTCCTGCTTTTGTGACCTCTATAGAAGAGAGGCCACATGAAATTTCATTGCATCTAAGTATAACGACAAAGATTCTATTCAAAATATAGTACACAGCTAGTCTGCTAGATCAGTGTACAGTCATCCAGCTATCATACTATGTCATATTTGTATTGTACTCTGTCCTGTTGTATTGATTGGGCAGATGGCCAGATGCAGTATCCCAAAACCCTGCCTGATGTGTTTGATGAAGACAGTGGTGATGCCTTCTCTCCAGAGCAGCCAGGCAGTCAGGAGTCACACGGGTCTGCAGCCTCACCCGGAGAGCCCAAGGCCATGGAGGCCACCTCACCACTGCCCAATAATTTATTACAGGTGCTCCTTTATTCTTGGTTTGAATGTGAAAAAAGATGCTCGATGAAATAACTCCTTGTCTGCATTAAAAATGGATTCAGTAGAGCCTCCCTTTTTATTTTTTCTCTCTTTCATTTTCTGCAGCATTGTACTTCTGCTGTCCAGTCTACAGGAGATTTCCTCAAACCTTTATCCACCAACGAACAGTTAGTTAGCCCTCTGGCACCACAACCTCAGCCAGTCACTACCACAGCCCCCTCAAAATCTGGGCCTACTCTCCTCAAGGTCAGTGAGACTGAAATGGTTAGCATGACAAATACAGGCAGTGCAGGGACAAAGGCCTTGGTACTGCTTGCCTTTTTGTCATGAGTGAGTTATTATACACTGCCTGTCAAAAGTGTGGTGGTGTAGGGCTGGCGTTATCATGGATAAGAACACTGACCAACATGTTTTTTTTTTCACAAAGAGAGCAATACTAGTTTTTTTTTTTTTTTTAAGAGTATTTTTAAAATCTGGTACCACTGTGTCTTTTTTTCTGTTCCAATTTATCATATAACAGAAAAGCTAAAATATCGTATTGCCCAGCTCTAGTACTGTTGAAGATATTTTAAGTGTTATTTTACTACTGTTAAAAGTTTGGAAATGGTGTTCAAATGTTTGAAATAAATATTTACAATTATATAAAAAATAAGTATTCTAATTTGATAGTCCTGTACTTCATATTTAGTAATTAGTGGAACACTAGGCAGCTGTAAAAAAAAATGTTGAAGATGTGTATTGAAGAATGATACATAGAGCTTTAGATTCTTCTAAAATGATTAAGAAAGCTGTATAACACCAAGAGTGAAGTTCTAATAAAATTAATATCCGCAGTTCATTATATTTCAAAATTGAAGATTAGCTCTCAAGGCAGATAACTTTATAAAACATTATGTAAATACATAATTATGATATATTATTGCAGGAGGTGTGGTTGAATTATTACTATTAATTAAGGTATCAGAAATAACAATAAGAAAAACAATAATAATAATTAATATTATTATTACCATTTATTTTTATTATTATGATTATTATATGGTACCATCATATGGATGCGTTGTCTTGTTTTCTGACAAGAAAATTTCTGTTGAGAGTGGAGTTAGTCAGAGAACTGGAGCCAGAAGTGCCAACTTGGAAGTTGGTGACTGGAAGTCAGGAGACCTCCAGTTGACAACTAAAAGTGAAGCTTGAGGTGCTCAGGTTTTTATGGAGATAAGGCTATCAGTACCTGTTACATGTGTTCCTAACTGTCGATTGGTCCTTCTTCTGCATGGGCTGTGCCTAAGGTGGTAAGTCAGTCTCTACCACTTCCGCTAGGCTTGTCCACACCTGCCAGGCAGCTGGTTTTAGGCATCATTTTACATGTAATTTGAGATGAAACACGGTATGTTTTGCATATTTCACAAAAAAAAGTCTTTTCATTAAATTGGAACATTAAAGTTTCTTTCATCTTGAAAGTTGTGCTGTGCGTGCTGTTGATTTCCTCCATCGTAAACCTTATTGTAGGTCTACTGGGGAAGGGGGTGGGGATTATGATTGTTTGCCATCATTGTTCCCGAAGATAGAGGTAAACAGACAACTTTTTAGAACGGTTTTAGGAAAAAGTCATCCCACAATCACTATAGCAATAAACCTTTGGTTGAGGAAGCACACTTTCAGTTTATGATCTGGGTTAGCCTGGTCACTGTGCTTGGTGGGTAGTTTTAATATTTAAGTCTACATTGTGCAAGTTTTAAGGTAGCATATAAACCGCACAAACAAAACATGCTCATTTGTCAAAACATGTCTGGGGTGTTCCCAGACTTTTGACAGACAATATAAGTTAGCCTTATTTGAAACCTTTTCCCTTCCATTTTCACTAAAAAGCTGCAAGAATGTTCACATTTTTGTATTTGTCCTTAATGTCTATAGCAAAGTCAGCCTAAGCTTCCTGGTGATAAAAGTCGTAGTAAGAAGAGCAAAGAGGCCAAACCACGAGTGAAAAAGCTGAAGTATCATCAGTACATTCCCCCAGACCAGAAACAGGAGCCCAGCGAAGCCCCCATGGACTCATCTTATGCCCGCTTACTGCAGCAGCAGCAACTCTTTCTGCAGCTTCAGATCCTCAGCCAGCAACAACAGCAGCACTACAACTACCAGACCATTTTACCTGCTCCACTCAAGTAAGCTTTACTTCTGTAACATTCTCCCTCTCTTTGGTAGTACATTGTGTTAAAATTGTAAGTTTAAAATTTAAATACAAGCTAAAATGTAATAAAAGTTAAAAGGATTGGAAAGTTAAAGTGGCAGTAGGATGCACAGAAGTAAAGAGTGGACAAAATTAAACACCAATAGATTTTATACACATAGTTTTGGAGACTTTATTATGGATACTGTAAAATTTAAAAACCTGTACTTAATGGCTGTTTTAAATGGAAATCAAATACCTAACTTTTCACTGTACTGTATCTTTTGAAATATGTAGAAGTTGTGTATATCGTATCTGAGTATACCTGAATTTCAGTTAGTGAGGGGGATATACCTTAATGGGGTCCTATTATTCTTTTCCAGTTTTTCCCTTTCCTTTAGTGTGTTATATAGCTTTTTGTGCATGTAAACTGTCTGCAAGGTTACGAAGCTCAAGTGCACGGCAGAGGGAGTAGCTTTCTCCCACAGAAACCGCTTTTCTCAGCTGCCCGAAACGCCTTATTAGAAGGCTAGCCCTTTTCCTTTTTTACAAGATGACGCAATCTCGTAACACAGTACTTATTGCCTGCCTTAGAGCAAGCTTGGCACACCCTCACACAATGCACAGCAACTTCTGGAGGCCGGGAAGAGCTTTCTGTTTTGTAGCCATGGTGAGAAGACGCTGACCTGACTTTGAGGATCGGACTCTGGCTCAAACTGATATGGCAGAAACGATGCCATTGGAAAAATAGTCCCAGCGTTGTTTACAGCTGCTCAGGAGAAAAGGGTCTGTCTGCAATCTGCGGTGCAATCTGCTAGTGGCGGAACCGCTCTGGTGGTTGACCAAATCAGATCAGAGTGTCTTCGGCAGACCTCAATTTGAAAAAGGTCCCTTTTTGCATTTAAAGATTTTAAGTATAACTGTTAGGATGCTATTTGTCTACATGTTGGGTACTGTGTGCATATAAAAGCTTCTTGAGTTGGAAAATGTCTTGGAACACTAATATTGTTGTTGCCAGTGAGCCCCAGGTTCATTGCCTAGTTTCCAGTAACAAATCCTGTTTAGTGATGCTCATTAATGACACAAAGTCGATGAGACATTTCCTCATCCTTTTCCATCTCTATCTGCACGTGTGAAATTTATTTTAACTGAGCTATTTTATTTTGTCTTGCCTGACAGCACATTGTTCACAATTTGAGTTTGTTTATTGTGTGAGGGGAGGGTGGAGGAAATGGATTCAGTCATGCTGTTAACAGATTTCCCTCTCTCCTCTTTTTACCATTACCCTCCTCCACCCCTCTTCTTCTTTAGGCCAGTGATTGAGGGACAGAACAGCAGTGCCACAGTTGCCATAAATAGTGGCAACAGCCGTCCTGCCTCTATTGTGGTGTCTCTGCCTACAGCTGCGCCACCAGTGCGCCCGAATAACACCCTTACTAACCGCAAAGCTGGCACCCTGCCTGCCAACCTGGAAGAGATGAAGGTGATTACCTCAGTGGTTTTTATGTCATTAAATGTAAAGTCAAACCTGCAGTTCATTATCATGATGAATTTTTAAGCCTGGAATATAATTTGTTGTATCGTATACGTGACTGAATAGGGACACAGTGTTCTCATAAAAAAATGTAATGAATGAAAGTATGTTCAGTTGAGTAGTGGTGTAAATCTCTGACCTCTGATCTCAATGATTTGATTTGATAGTGATTTTGATAACAATTTGATGCAGAATTTAACTACAATTTCATTGTTATTTTTGTATGTGACTGGAGGAAGTGTTTACAGAATAGTGAAATACAGACAATAAAAACTATATATATATATATATATATATATATATATATATATATATATATATATATATATATATATATATATACGCTCATTGTTCATTTTATCAGCTCCACTTACTATATAGGTGCACTTTGTAGTTCTACAATTTGTAGCACACAGACTGTAGTCCATCTGTTTCTCTGCATACTTTGTTAGCCCCCTTTTACCCTGTTCTTCAGTGGTCTGATCCACTCGTACCAGCACAACACACACTAACACACCACCAACATGTCAGTGTTACTGCAGTGCTGAAAATGATCCACCACCCAAATAGTACCTGCTCTGTGAGGGTCCATGGGGGTCCTGACCACTGAAGAACAGGGTAAAAGGGGGCTAACAAAGTATGCAGAGAAACAGATGGACTACAGTCTGTAATTGTAGAACTACAAAGTGCACCTATATAGTAAGTGGAGCTGATAAAAATGGACAGTGTGTGTAGAAACAAGAAGGTGGTCATAATGTTATGCCTGATCGGTGTGTGTATATGTGTGTGTGTGTGTGTGTGTGTGTGTATATATATATATATATATATATATATATATATATACACACACATATAGGCATTGCTACCTTTAGAATGATTGCGTCATGATGCATTGATTTTCACACCACTGATCACTAGTATTAAATATTTACTAAGGTAATTTAAAATCCATCTATTTTTGCTTTTGTTAGGTGGCTGAGCTAAAAATGGAGCTAAAACTGCGTGGCCTCCCAGTGTCTGGAACCAAAACGGATCTTATTGAGCGGTTAAAGCCTTACCAGGAGAGTTCTGCTCCTAGCATCAGCAGCAACAGCACTGGACCTAACATGCAGCCCTGCAGCACACCGATGGAAGTGTCCAGCACTACTACAAGCCTGTCCCTTGGCCATCAGCCCCCTGATGCCCTGAGCTCCACTCCCCCAGTGTCCCCTGTCCCTGCAGAAGTGCACAATAGAGAAGTGGTGCTCATGGACAGCCAGATGGAGGCCCAAGGCCAAACTGGGAGTGCCAGCAGCCAGCCAGTGGCCACAGTTCCAGAAGACCAAGACCGGAGGCTACATGAGAAGGAGCGTCAGATCAAGGAGCTGCTGCGAAAGCTGGAGCAGGAACAGCGGCTGGTGGAGGAGTTGAAATTGCAGCTGGAGGTAGAAAAAAGGAGTGGACAGATGGTGGCAGCTGCAGAAAATAATGGTAGCATTAGTCCAGCTGCTTTAACAGTCCCTGTAAAGACGGAGAAAGCAGTCATCCCCAACTGTAAAGTGACCTCTCATACTGCTCCTACTATAGTGAAGCTAGAGGAAAGCCACCCAACCCAAGTGACAGCCACCCCTCTGCCCCAGTTCATCATAAGCCACCAGGGGGTGTCACAGGTCATCGGGCAGCCGCAGACTCTTCTGACCACACAGCATGGTGGCACCCAGATCCTGCTGCCTGTCTCCCTGCCCAATAATGCCACCACTATTCAGCTCCCCAATACTAACGTTAAACTGCAGGTACTCTAGTATTGATTTCTTTAATTCATTTTCATCAGATACTGGCTACATTCACATTACAAGCTCAGTTTTATTTTTTGGTTTGGATTTGGTGTTTTGACTGTTAACGTTTGTGTTTGTAAGTCAACCATACCTGTCAATAGTGTGAACTCACCTCTGCCACAGGCACACATCAGCAGAATCAGTAACGCCATATGAATGGTCCACCTGTTCTCAAATGGCAGTTATATGTACATGCGAGGTGCTGGGGATAGTCTGTGAATTTGGTGGAAGTTAGTTAAAACTAGCTGTTTTGAATCTTAGTAGCCAAAAAGAATACAGCTCATCTCTTCAGTCTTGCCATAAAAACACACGCACATGTACCACTTAGACTAGAACTGAATACCTAAATGCGATTCTTAACATAAATATAATTTGAATAGTTTTCATAAATAAAATGGTAATACAAGCTGATAACACCACAGCTAATTAGTTACCTAATGTCAGCCAATGCAGAAGCCGGGATAGCTAGCTAACATCTCTCCTCAGCCTGCTTAGTTTGCTTCAGATGGGCTTTTATCTCTAGTTGATTTCCTTAGCTAGAATTGTCATAGTTTGTGGGCAACTATATTAGCAAGCTTACCAGCTAACATTAGCATTAGCAACTTGACTACATTAGCTGCACACTTTGGAATGGAATATGCTGTGGAAAATAAAGTACATGTCCGGCAGATATAGAGCTGTTAGAGAGCCCTTTCCAGCATTGGAAAGCTGCTCTAATGTTTATAAAGAGTATACAAGTGCATACTCTTGTCTTTGCTCTCTATCAGTCATGATTTGATTTCTATTTTACCATGTTTATTTTCTTGGTTTGTCTGGCAGTCTAAGCCATCTAAATTTGGTGTTATTTACCTGACCAATAATTCTTTGAAAAACTAATCACAGTGAGATTGTCACAGTGTCTTGTCACAGCTCAAGTTTGCAGTTAGGTGTTGTTTCCTTGCTGTGTGTTGCAAAGTTTGATGAGCATGAGTTGCGATTTGACTGTACGTTTTTAACTTCATAGTGGGTGTATGGCCCCATATCAGATAAGTATCTTGAAACACAAATGAAATTGGTTTAAATCTGATTTGAAAAGATCCAATTTTGTGTTCATAGTTGTGTCCACTTAAGGCAGGTTTATGCTGTGAGATCACAATAATGGTGTTGCAGACAAAAATCATAAAAGAATTCTTCAGTCTTGGGTTAAAATCAGTGGTCATTGAACACTCAGTCTGACATACTCAAACGTACCTCATTTACTGCCACTGCAACCAAAGACTATGGAGTTAATTTTGTGCCAGAAGTTTCAAATAAAATAATAAAATACATAGGCAAAATGTTAAGTATCAAAATGTCCAAAATATGTTAACAAGGGTTAAATCAAACTTATTGCTTCGCTGATTCTTATATAATTTAATTTTTTTCTGTTTGGTGATTTTTCTGATATCATTTTTGCTTCTGGAATTTTTTCTTTTGCTTTTGACTTTTGGCACTTTTTTAACAGGGGGCGGGTCTTCACCTGGTGTGTTCACCTGCACTTTCTGTTGGTCAACTGATTTGGAGTGACAGGTCTTCTGAACATGTGGCCAACTCTGAGAACTATTAATTAACTCCATAAAAGTACAAAATTACTCTATAAAAGACAGCCTGCAAAAAAGTTCTGGCAGTGTCAGAAATTTGGTCCAAATCTCGCAGGGTGACTTCTGCTATGACACACATCTAAAAGCCAAGAAGAGTGAAGTGTTTGTGTGTTAGAGTGAGAAGATAAACTACGATAAGAAACTTTATTGCTTGCTGGCCCAGCCCTAAGTTTACATATAGAGTGAGCTGCAGTGAAATGTGTTTATAATGTGTAAGTTGTTTTTTTTTTTTGACAGCCGATCCTTCAGGCAGCTGTCTCTCCTCAAAGCCAAGGACTGATCCAGAGCACTCAGTTGCAGCCGGCCAAAGCTGAGAGTTCCTCAGTGCAGCAGCCAGTCAATCATAACCATAACGTAGTGCAGGTAATTATTTATTTATGCAGTCAGAGTAAAAGCTTATGTGGACTGTTTCATGAGGGGGACTAGTGATACATTTTTCTTGCATGAATAATAAGCAAGCTGCTACATTCTAACTTTCTGTCTTTTTCCCCACTCCACTTGCTCTTCTTTGCAATGGTTTCAATTTCTCTCTTATTCCAAAATGTAGTTAGGCAGTCAAGACATGTTTGGTATTTGAAGTATGCTTCTTTAGTTTTGTACTGGAGCTACAAAACTATAAAGATAATGGAAGTTAGCACTGTACAAACTAGGGAAGTGCTTAACTGAGTAACCGTTAACTGACAAATAAATAGTTGTTCGAGGATGATGGCACAACTATGCATCATATTGAGGGGAGACATGCAGAAGTGATAAGACTGACAGTCCATGTTCTCAGAGAGAAAGTGTGATGCACAGCAGCACAAGGAAAGTACACAAGTGCCAATTTGAGCCAAATTTAGCCTCGATCATGCCATTAATGTTTGTTTTAACTTGGGCGAATAATGACTGCTAAATGTAACTCTAGAACTTTAGAATAATTTTGTCCTTTTTAGCTTTTAGTCATATAATGATAACCATATTAGAGTTGTAAGCCTCTACTTCATTTGCATGCTTACGCCTGGCCCTACCTATCAGTACTGTGTCTCACTAGTTTTATAATATATCTGCACTAACAGAGAATAGTGGGTGTGTGCGCCCTTAAGTGTGCATATATTAAGTATTTTACAGTGGATTTGAACATAGGTAAACCAGATTTCAGAACAGGGACTGTCCATTTTATAATTGATAATTTGATGGGTTGTGTCCTTAATTTTAAGAGTGCCAGTTAATGTTTATCCATGATTTGCCAAAATTGGCATGTCTATCACAAACTACACACTCACTGCAAATTGCGTCAAGATGTCTAATAGTCTGTAATACAGTGTTATATGTAAAAGCTGGATGAGAAAAACTAAATTGAGGTTTGAGGATGACAGATGGCTGCTTCTACAGTTTTTAGCTATGCAACATGCAAATTTTGGCTTTTACTGATAACCAGCAGTTATTAGTCATGGCTAATTTTTTATAGGCTAATTTATGGCTCTTTTTTATAGACAACAGTGTGTCATACACTGTCAAAAACCACTGTATGACACAACTGTGATTTAGACATGCAGTTTGCATAGTGCTGGTGTCTACAGTCTATTACAGAGCTGGGAGAGTTGGAAGGTATTGGTACTAAGTAACCAGTTAGGATGAAAGGGAGTAAATGAAAGTGGGTCTGTGTCAGACAGAGCAATCAAAGCAACTGTATATTCTTATGTGAGGGCTTCAGGATCATGTAGTCTGGTCTGATCGTAGGGCAGCCATCCATTAGTAAGATGGCAGAGAGTGGACTCATTTTACACAGTGCCTTGTGTCTTGTGTCGCTAGCCTATCTTAGCAGGAGGCGCTGTGCTAGAGTTACTCGAGCAATAACAGTAGACAGATGCTGGTGCCAGCAGCATGGAGAATGAGTATAGCCATGGTTGTGGCCTCGGCCTTTTTTTAGCGAATGTACCATGTACGACACCATGTGTCATTAGAGGGGCTTTTATTGTCAGAGTAACTTCTCATGATGGCATGTTAGCATAAAACACCCTTGCTGAATATAGAGGTTTCACAATAGCCATGTTTACATGCAGTCTAATAATCTGTTAATAATCCGAGGATTATTAAACAGGACTTGTGAAGTACATTTTACTGAGTCAGACATAATTTTAAAGCAATTAAAAGCCCAAGTGCGGCAACTGAAAACTCTCACTCTGACTGGACCATACGTGATGTTTGCTGTCGTGATAACGTTTACAAGTGGTACGCTACGCGTGCACGTCATTTTGGATCTGATACTTTTAGTGCGCATGTAAATAGAGATTTTCCATCAGATTGTTCAGTAGAGTGTGCACATAAACACCTCAGTCTTAATCTGTAATCGGAATGTGTTCAATCGGCTCGGCAAAAAACTTTGCATGTAAGCATAGCCAATGTGAGACAACGTGAATCAGAAGTCACAAAACATTTTCCTCCCATACAGTTTAAAGTGTATTCGCTTAGTAAAAAAGGGCAGTTTTCATTTCAGGTTGACTTCTGTGTTATGATTGTAGTGAATATTGTATTGATTTTTTTCTCTGATAATTTATTATTAGACTATGGAAAGGGAAAAAAGATTAGGATGGCATAATTAAAAGTTTTATTGTTTGAGTGTTTTTTTTTTATCGCGTGACTTTCAGTTACTTGGAAATAAATTAAAGCTTGCCGGTGAAAATGTCAACCTCTCAGCTTTACCCTGTCTTTATTTTGGCGTTAGGGTGGACAGGTGGCAAGCAGCAATTGCAGGAAAAATGTGTTAAAAAAGATATCTCTGGAGAATCAATGTGAAGTTTGTGAAATTCTCAAAGTTTGGTAACTGATGTTTTTAATCTTGGTTAATAGTGAAACCAGGTAATCTCAACATTCCTAGCTCCATGTTTTGTATATTGGTATAGTATAACTTGTTGTTTGTTCGTGATCTTGTTGTTTGCTGTCTCCAAGCAGACTCTGCCTGTGTGTAGCGGTGGTTTCCAGCACAGTGCCGTTGAGAACCAGGCAGGCCTGGAGATGCCTCAGTGTTTCCTGAGCAGCTCCCCAGAGAACACTGTTTCTGTCCAGACTTCACCCATTACCTGTTCCCTTACCAACGGCCCTCTTAATAAGGTAACACTTACTGCGCTGTATATGTGATTTATGAGTATACTACCATTCAGAAGTTTGCAATCTATGTTTTCAATTTTAAGAAATCTTTAAGTTTGCAGAAAATGTGTGATCTTATACAACTTCATTAAAGTTCGAGAATTTATTGCTAATAAAATTAATTTCCAAAAAAAGGCAAATAAATAACTACTGCATAGAATTTGTCATTTAATTTGTTTTTTTTATATTGAATACAATCTAAGAATGTCCATTGTTCTCTATTTTATAATATTTAAATATATACTTTATACATTATTTTAGTTTTTATAAATAACAAAAATTTTGATGACAAGTAGTTCTAAACTTTTGAACAATATGTCAGTGATCTGCTGTTTTGTTTTCTGTTATGTTGTGTATGATGTAGAATTTGTATGTTGTATCAGTCCCCCTCTCAGGCTCAGCCTGCCTTTATCCTGCAGCCTCCAGCATTCAGTCAGGCCCCCAAGAGCCGAGAGCCACCCACTTATGAGGACGCTGTTAAACAGACCCGCGGCCTGCAGGCACCTGCCATCACACAGGTAACAATTCTCACTTATACATGGACACCTTTACCTAAACATGCTGCAGTGTCAAATCTACTACAATTATTCAAATAACAGTTCATTGCTGGTTTTAATGTGTTTCAGGTTCCTACAGCAACCAGTCAGCAGATGGATGACCTGTTTGATATCCTCATTGAGAGTGGAGGTGAATGCTCAAAACATACAATACACAAGCAAATCGGATTAACTGTGCAAGTGAATGCTGTTGTGTAAATATAAGACTTGTTATATCAAGTTGTATATGGTTTCTGGCACTAAATGACATACTATTGCTTTAATCGTCCAAAAGCATCCCCCCAAACCTTCTAATTAGTGGATCCCAGCTACTTTAAGGGACTCCCATTAATAACATGATTGCACACACACAATCTCTGTAGAAATACACATAAGCCTGTAGTCACCATGTCCAATGCCTAGTATGAGGTAGAGGAGTATATGGCTTTGCAGCAGTTAAGATGTGTTATCTGAAGTGATGGAGCACTCATACGTTTGGGTCTAGTGCAGAGGTCTTCAAATCAAACATTTTCAGAAACCACATAAGCAAGTCTATATGAGAGTAGTTAACAACACTGTGCAGTTTGCCTACACAATCTCCCATTAACCTCCAGCTTCAGTACAAAACTAAAGAAGCACACTTGAGACACCATGTTTCGGACAATTGACCACATTTGTGTTAAAGGGAAAACTGCATAGATTTGATACCTGGCTGAACTGTCAGTTTTAGTCAGTGTGATATTTTCAACCATTTCTTCCTGCTCTCTGCAGAGATTACACCTTTTAGCCAGCCAGAGCCCTCTGTTCCTAAGATGATGCCAGTGACTGCCAGCATCACCACTCTACCTGTCAATACTGCCCTGAGCCGGCCGCCTGCACAGGTGCAGATGGCGCCTCCACCAGCCCTACTGGTGGAGTCCATGCCCAACCTGGCCTCACTGGCCTCGGACAACCAGCTGGAAGCACTTTTAGAGGGCGCACTGGTGGGTGAGGCTGAACCAGAGCAGAGGACGCTGGGAATTCTAGAGGAGCTGCAGAGCCAGCTTTCAGAGCAGCCCCATTCTCCAATGGACACGTCTGAGCTGAGCTTCTGCGATCCTCCAGCGCACTCTACTTCCTCTTCCTCCTTCAGCCTGCAGGACACAGGCCTGGATAACATGGAGTGGCTGGACCTGACTATGCCTGGACCCATTGGGCCACTAAACCCATTAGGCATTGCTTCAGATTTTCTGGACACGCATGACTTGCAGTTGCACTGGGACTGAGAGTGCTGATGCTGCTCTCACTTTCTACACACTCATTTTCTTTCTTTCGCTCTCTCTCGCTCTCTCTCTCTCTCTCTCTCTCTCTCTCTCTCTCTCTCTCTCTCTCTCTCTCTCTCATGTACACACTCACTCAAACACACACACACACACACACACACACACACACACACTCCCTCCTCCACCGTGTGAGAAAGGAGGGTCTAGTTTGTTAATGGCCATGCAATCTGAATGTGTGTATGTGTGGGTGATTTCCTTTTAAGACTGTACAGGGCTATGTGCAGCACTAGGACTGCAGCCATTACCGCAACACCACGATGGTAGCTTTTTAACTTTTTTCCATGGTTTTTAAGAGATGTATATTCCCAGGGCTTCTGACATACAAATTAAAAGTGAACAGTCTAAATCTATCAATTTACAAATCTAACTCCGGCCCATAAGAGTCAGAGCAAGGCAAAGTGAGGGCTGAGTTTAATTCTTTTTTATTGAAGACAGTGAAGCTGCTTGCTGGAGACCCCTAACACACAAGCAAGCGAAGCTGTCCAGAGTAAAAAGGCTATTTCTGGGCTATGATGTAAGGCAGATGACAACACAGCTAATATTGTTTTAAGAAAAAAAAAACATTGTTTACTGTTCATATGCATTTTAAAGTTCTATTATTTTTCAACCATTGTAGTTATCTCATGCAAAACTTGTTGAATCTTCTCAACACTGAGATCATTATCACTTGACTATGGCCAAAATCGCTCACCACACCGCATTTCAACAACTGAATTATCTGTCGCACAGCAAAACTCACTTTTCATTTGCGTACCCAGCCCCTGGGTGTTATAATCTATCGTGGTGGTAAGGCAACCAAACATCGTGGTGTTGAAGTTTTGCCTCCGCAGCAGCCCTGTTCAGCACTCTGTGCTATTGTAACAAAATCAGAGATCCACTCAGTGGATGATGTGAGTGATTGTCTCTGCTGTTCCGCTGTATTGAGCTATGGTTTGTGTTTGTCATTTACCATTCAGGCTGATGTCTTGTTATAGCGCTATGAAAACGAAGGGCCTTCAGTGAGCTGCTTCTTGCTGAGCATGTGCTGGGTTCTCTCGTCTGTGCCATTCAGAGAGGGAGCTGCTTGTAAACAGTGTGAGTTTCTGTACTGCTCTGTTAATAGGTATTGTGCCATTAACTCAGCGTTGTTCTGTGCGCAGTCTATAAATACTGTCATGGCCAATTTTAAACTAAAACTGTCCAGAGTCACAAGAACAGGCTCTAATTCCAGACATCTCGGCTCCACAGGAGATATTCAAATGATTTTATTGCTTTGTTTGCACAAAATTCCTAAAGAGTTTGAGCACTGACACCATTTAAATATTTTGGTTTTTAAGAAGCGAAAACCCAAATATCAGGTGCATTTTTCACTGAGAACACTTTCCTACCTGTACTGGGTAGATCAGCATACTGTTTTTGGAAATGCCCTGATCAAACAATCAGATTATTATTTAATCTGTTATTCCGAAAACAGTGACTTAACACTGTCGCCTGTCAAGTCAATCTCTTTTAAAACCATGCTCATTTGTGTCTGCAAGTATTTTGTTTGTGTGTGTATGCGCACAAGGGTGTGTGTGTGTGTGTGTGTGTGTGTGTGTGTGTGTGTGTGTGTGTGTGTGTGTGTGTGAGTGTGTGAGCAAGTATGCTGGGTACATGCAGTCAGAAAGAATCTTTATGGAATGCTGTCTGATGGGCCAGACCAGTGCTCTAATATCTGCAAGGCTTATGTGTACCATATTGTGAAGGGAGGGCCTATAGATACAATTACATTGTATGTTTTGAATTGTGTGATGCTTTGCAACAGAGGTGTGTCAGTGCCAAGTGGATGGTGTACATAAGTTATTTCTTAGAATTGGGACAAACCTAAGACACAGTGCTGTTTTAATGACCGTTGTTGACGAGAATGAGCTAAAACGACAACTGACACTATTAGCAGTGGATGTTTGCCCAGTCTTAACAGGGCACTATAATATTTATACATGTTTTTAGTTTTTTATACAGGCTAACACAGTTAAAGATCTTGGGTGAACACCACGGGCCTGGTTTCTCTACATCATCACCACATTAAAGGAACGCGGCAGCAGTTTTCACCTAATCTCTATATGCTGCATTTGTATTTTACAGTTAATTACCATGGATAATAATTTTGATGCGTTTCCCTGTATTTTAAAAAATGAGCAGTTGCTTCAGACATGTAAGTATATGTGGCCGTACACTACAGGTGCAGCAGGTGGAAATTAGGTTGAAAACACTGGAGTATTCCTTTTAGGTCATCTTAACTGTTGACAGAGGTCTAAGTAATGCTTCCTGTACCATCATGTAATGATTCCTTTAGTCTAGAAAATCAGGCCCCAAGTTTTACTATCATTAAGACACTACATGTTGAACATGGTTGGCAGCTTAATGGCAGTTTAGTGGGGGGAGCAAAAGAACAATTCTGGTTTGCCACCTACTCTGCCATACTGACTAATACACCTCCATTCCATCTCAAACCTCATCAGTGACCATTTTTAGATCCTGTAAGACCCTCCCTCTTATCTGCACTTCTGAGGATGTCTCTGTCTGTCCTTCTGTCTGTAGCACGTTATTGTTTCTGTAAGTGTGAGTGTGAGTGTGAGTGTGAGTGTGTGTGTGTGTGTGTGTGTGTGTGTGTGTTTCACTGTTGGATATTACTGTGCCCTCTTCTACTGTTCTGTACACAGTAAAAACAAGCAAAAAAAAAAAACTAAATGGCAGTCTAAACAAAAATACGTGTGCGATTGAAGAAGTACGAAATGCTTCAGCAGCATGCAGTTGTAAATTATTCTTAATGTAATTCATCAGCTAAAACACTTTTTCTATTGAATTATTTGATTTTGGTTCACCACAAGTGATTAACCGAGTTAATCTCTGAGACCAAACTCCAGTCATCTTTAGCTAATGTGGCCTCACTTCGTCAGATTTGAAGGCCATTTAGGAATGATTGTTTATAACTTGATTCAGTGTCTCTAGGAGAAATACCTTTATAGCATTTATTAGGAGAGTTACCTTTATAATATCACGTTCTGATCAGTTTATTAGACCTGATCACTGGCTCAAGTACCTGTCTGATTATGAGAAACTATTAATGGTATGTTTGATCCAAAGGGAATTTGCTCGAAATATGTCAGTATTTTTTATTTTTTTTCCTTTTCATTTTTTCTTTTAGAGTTCAGGATGTATAGCACTTTGGGCTGCAGTAATAAACTTGCATCATGGTGAAACAATCACTTGGCATCTGAGCACCTTCACAGATGTTTTACAGCAGATGAATTTTGTTAGCTGTTCTTGCACCGCTCTTGTCTACGTGTTGTCATTGCTGTCAGCTCAGAAACGTTTGATCAACAAGGCACATACCCAGGGCTTTAGTCCACTCTTGCTTCAAGGCTTTGTACTGTTCGCCTTGCACGTTGACCAAGCTATGGCCTCTCCAATGACTTGCCAAATATAAGTATCGTTATATAGGCACTCATTAGTGGGAATGAATTAAGTAAGTTCTTTCTAAGAAGGCAGCATCAGAGGTCTTCTACTCTGGATTTTTTAATCACTGCCAGGTAACTGAACTGTTGATTTAACTGTTTAACCACCTAGTGTCATACCTACCAGTGATGAGAAAATCCAGGACTGGAAGCTGAATTCAAGATCTAGAGTTGAAGAGCTGTGCTCTGGGTGATGCATTGCCATATTGTCGTTGATGGGCTGATTTTTGAAAATTAAGAATCTGGCTCAAAAATCTTAAGGCCTTTCAGGGTGTCCCACCACTTGCCTGTATGAATTGAGGGCTGGTACTGGAGCGCAGTTTTGTAAAATAGCTACCAAAGAGGCCAAATAAATAATGTACAATGCAGTTTGGCTTAGGTAGTTTACGAATTGCTGGGTGGGTAAAATTTTTGAGGTGAGTAGAACTTAACTGAAAAGTAGGTTATCGGTTTTAATCAGTGTCAGTATAAAACTTGAAATGGCTAGTGTTGTATTCTATTCAATTGCAAATATCAGCATAAAGAGAGCAAAGCAATAACGTCACAATTTTTAATTTGATGTTTAATTCAGTACTGTAATGTATACAGTATGTGGTAAATCTCAGTGCATTGCCTTGATCTTATGAAGTTGCAGTTTATATTAAATGCTCACTAATTTGTGCTGAGCAGCTTTGAGGATGTCAAAGCTCAGCACTCAGCATTAGCCTCATGTAGGAATCACCTGAACTAGGCAGCTGGCCAATTATTTTTCCCCCATACTTTTTAACCAGAAAAATGCAGTCTCCTGGTTTCTTCTTTTCATCAAGTGGTCTTGTGAAGCCAACCCACAATTCAGTGCTAGAATGATCCTTTTTTGTGTGCAATGTTCAGTCGTTGTCATGCAACCATTCAGCTGTTCCCATTTTATACTGCTGGACTTTATTTTCAAGCGGAGTACTTTTTATCAACATTGTTAATGTGTGAAGTATCAGTGGTGACTACACTAGGTGATAAACCTGTTGACTGCCACTTCTCTTTGTCCTCCAGATGGAGGGGCAATCATCATTTGTATGCCATACATTTTGCACATTGTGTACATATTTGAATGGACGTAATACATATTTTTATACATGTTTAGCGCATCCATGAGCTCTATTTTGTGAATAGTTTTAAAGATATAAGTATACATACGCTGTTATGTGTCAGTTCACTTTGATGTATTGTGAACATACTGTTGTAGAGGATGTTTCAGAATCTCTTAAATATACCAGAGGAATGAAATGCAAAATTTGAAAACTGTCTGCGTTATTGCACCAAATTTATTACAAAATTCAATTCACTGTTTAGAAAACCATGAAAAATAAAATACTTATAATACAGTAAATGTGAAAATTATCTATTCAGACATGTTCCCATATGATATATATATATATATATATATATATATATACACTGGTAGAAGAATGTCTTGATGAGCTTGATGAACATATGTTCTGGATATGTGATCATAAAATGCATTTACATAGAGCCTAACATCACCATGCACAATATGTTGTTCTCTATTGCCCATTTATTAACCAACTCATTTGCTATCTTATTTGCCTTGATTAGACCGTGCATATCACATACAATATTTGGCTGAGTATACTTATACACCACTGCACAAGGGCTTTAAACACCTAACCACAGATACCATCCCAGACCTTTAAGCAACTTTTCCTTTCCTACAGGAAGTTATCTTTTAATGACCTTAAAGGCAGAAGGCTGGCTGTAGTTTCTGTCTGTGCCTACAAGCCAGAACTAGCCTGGTTGCACAAGATGTAGCATTTCGTAGGTACTTAATTGGTAACATTTGGCAGTTTTTGGTACTTTTCCACTTCTAATATTACTTCCTAATATTAACTTGAACTGTCATTATCCTGTATCATGTGATGTTTTTTTTTTTGTGCTCTACCTTATCATAGCTATACAGTTGCTGTCAGACTGGCAATGTTTTTTTCATATTTTGATATAAGGTTGCACAGATTTGATACCCAGTAACAGTATCAAGTTAATAGTAGAAGTAAAAAAAAATAAAAAAAACCTGTAACAAATCTGGCCTGACATCACAGAATTGCATATAGCTCTGGAATGATAACAGCAGCCACATGTAACCTAACAATAACGTAAGAATAACTACTGGCTAGCTAAGCAAAGCACCCATGGTAGTTGCTGTTATGTTAGCTGTCTGGAAATACTTCACACTTTTAAATGGTTTAAGTGCTTCTTTTAGGACTAGCTTATTTTGCTTAGTAGTTTTTAAAGGGAAAACATCAGAAAAGGAAAAAGTGGCAAACCTACCAAGCTTGAATTGTTCACAGCAGTGGTAATGGGAACCAGGCATCTTAAGCATTTACTGCCTCTGAAAGTTACATCACAAAATGTTATGATATGAAATGGTTACAAATATGTTTCATTATGTCATTAATTTACAATAGTTTTACAGTAGGCCCTTGGCCTGAAATGTATTTTTAAAATTCACACAGGCAAAGTAAATGTACCCAAACAAAACTTGAAATCTCTTGTTGATTTCTCTACCAATTCCATCAAACAATTCTGAATAACTTTCACTAACTTTTAATTTAACTGTTGGCCTAGGCAGAATATTTGAAAAACCAGTGGAAGTTCCCCTCCAAAGTCTCTTTCCATGCATGCTTTACAGTCGATGGACAGTTTGGATTTCTGTATGGCAGGATGGACACCTGTGGCTGATGTCTTTGAAGTAATTCAGAAAGAAGGGCAACAGGCAACATCCAGCTACACAGCTGCAAATCCAGGAAGGTTGGTAAGTGCACCAGAAACAGAAATAATAATCTGATTACATTCTTTGTTTGAACAGGGAGATGATTTACAGCAGGAGTGTTCAATTCTGGAGGGCCAGAGTTCAGCACAGTTTGATGATTTTCTTGCTCAAACTTACCAGCTAAACCAGGTAATTAAGTGATGAGTTGAATCACGTGTGTTTGAGCAGGGAAGTTGCCAAACTGTGCAAGCCTCAGGCCCCCCACGACTGGAACTGATGACCCTTGTTGTACAGTTTGTCACAACGATCAGATCAATAGATATTTATGCGAGTAGCGTTCAGTGTAGTACAGATGTAATCGGATAGAAACTTACCCCAGTGAAACAGAGAAAAAGCACACGAGAAAAGAAGACCTGCCCACTTTATAGTGGATCTCAGTGGTGACCTGTTGCTGGCAGTTGGGACAGTACACTTTAGCAGCGGAAAAGGAGAGGTCCTGCACCGCCACCACTTCATCTGAGCTCTCTACAGAGGGACAATGCCTTAGTTTCTTTATTTTATATATATTTTATACACAATTAAAGATTTCTAAATGCTTCTTGTATTGGGTGTACGATTCTTGAAAGAAAAACCATTAATTTGCATTGAACTTAATGGAAGCTTTATTTGTGGTGGAAAGATCAAGATGTTCTTCAAAGCGTTCTTCACACTTAACGTTATTAAAAATCTACAGCTTTGGTGATCACTCATATGGATATGTTAGCACAAACCTAGCGCTTAAGCCTGAACACTTTAATTTGCTTTACGTTAATGTAAGATACCTCTACACTTGAGCTCGCTAACTGGTTGGCTAACATCCACCCAACCAGGGTCTTTCATCTGCATGCTCATTACAGAAAGATTGCTTACTGTTAATTTTCTAAGGACAGACTGTAGGTGAGGATTAGCTATTGTTGAAGTTTACAAACAGATCATGATATACATTTTTATCACTGTTCAGATGTTCATCTCAGAAAAGGAAAAATTAGCCCAGTCAGTTAAACTGAAATTACTATTGCTAATATTGCTATTAGTTACCAAGCTAGTTAAAGTTATGTACATACTTAATAACACTGAACCTTTTGCCTTTGGGCTTCTTTAAAGAGTGTAACTTATTTCACTTTCTGGGTGACACAGTACCTGGACTGAGTCCAGTGGAGGTCAGTTCAGATGCAGGCTGTTCTGAAATGTGAAAATCACATTATCATCACTGCTACAGTAAGTTTCTTTGTGCTTGCTTATGCTTTTTAATGTGGTTATGTGACTTACCTGTGATTAATCTCTGTGTTGGAGTGACACTCGGTAGGACCCGCACTCCAGAGAAGACTAGATCTTTCTTCTTCTCAGGTATGATGCAGTCAGGCTCTGCTAATGAAATTAGCTGGTTGGTATCATGTGTCCGAATAAACACAAAAAAAAGAGTACCTTTGCTTTCCTGTCGCTCTGAAACAGTTATTCATATTTGAATGCTGCATAGGAACTGTAATGCAATGCACACTTCCCCCAGCTGGAATGAAAATATTGTAGCACTCACAGTTATTAAAAGAGACTTTGCACAGGTCATGGTGCTTTATTTTTTCAGCTGTTGTCGGCAAAAGCCACTCCGTACATAGGTGGAGTTTTTCTGTAACAGCTCACTCTGAACCCAGCTCATGTCTCTCTCTCTCTCTCTCTCTCTCGCTCTCCCTCTTTCTCGCTCTCTCATCCCCTCCCTGCTCTCCACACATAAACACACCCTCTCCAATTAAAGTCCATGGCACAAAGGAACCAAGACCAATTAATGACGCAGAACACAGAACCTAAAACTAACATGCCAAAACATTTCTTGAACATGCTACACTATTTTGTGATTGCCTTTTTCCCCTTGACATACCATATTTAATTTTCAACAAACCAAATAGATATTTTATGCAGCATAAACAAACTATCCTTTTCATACAGTGGTAGCTTCTATGAAAAGATGGTTCTGTAAGTGTACCAGTGGCAGATGATTCCTGAGTTTTTTCCACGATGATGGTTTGTTTTTCTGACAAACACCTTCTATTCACAAGCTCTTTCTCTTTCTCTGACAAATACTGCAGCTCTTTCTGTACTCTTTCCAGCTCTGATGGTCCTTCTTCCTCTTCTTCTTTTTCCTTTTTCCCTTCAGCTCCATCTGTGAATACACATTATGATCATGTTGACATAAACCATGGAATCATAGTCTCTATGATCATCTCTCTGCAACAGTGAGGGTGTAGAGAAAATAGGGAAATATATGTTGCCCAGATGACTGCATGTCCAAAGGGCTGTTATTGTTTGCATGGACCATGAGCAACAGAGCTTTTTTAATATTTCCCACTGATAACTGATATTTATACCCCTCTTTGTCCATTTACAAAACAGTGTTATACAGCTTTTTCAAGTTTCACACATGAAGGAATTCACTTGTATGAATGTTAAGTTGTATTCAATTGTATTAAAGTTTTATAGATGTAAGTAAAATAAGTGTTCAGTCTAAATGGGATGTATAAATGAAAAGTATAGAATCTTGACTGAGAACAAAGTCTCTTTTGCCCATTGGTGTATAGGCCAATTTGACAGTTTACTGTAACTTGTAACTCTTATTTTAATATTTTTGATGCTCAAAACTTCTGCATAACTCTGTAGATTCACTTCAACATCTTATATCAAAAACAGAGCTAAGTTAATTGTCAGATTGGCCAATACAACAAAATTTAACCACAGAAATGCGTAAATACACAAAAATAAAGGTTCCTCGGTGGTTTTTAATGTTAACATGCAGTTCTAGGAAAAACATTAACATTAATGGATAACATTTACATTACAAGGAAGTTCTTCACACTCATAACTTATTTACAAAAAATGAAAGCAATAAAAAAAAAAAACTATACATGTATAGCTTACTATTTGCAGGATACAGATTCCTTAAACGAAAGCCAGCTCTGCTCTACACTGAGGCTGCTTACCATCAGTTACACTGTTGTTCTTCAGGAACTCTTGCATTTCCAGCAAAATGATCTGCCGGCTCAGGAGCTGTTGCCGCCTCATCACAACATACCACAACTCTCTGGAGAGCTGGTCCAGCTGGGCCCCCTCAGGTACCACCGGTGTCATTCTTTTTCTCACTGAACTGTCACACCTAGTTCTGAAGACATTTGTTCATCCAGTCTGTCAGAGCACACACTGTCACATCTACCCCTGCTGATGTCTCTTCACAAAACCTGCTTACAGTTTGTACACGTTAGCATATTCTGTACCTTTGTGACTCGCTAAAGACAAATAAAGGCTAGTGTACCACTTTCCAAAGATCAAGCAAGCAAATGAATGTAGATTTATATGACCTGCTCATATCACTCTTTCCTTTTATTAGTTTGAACAGGCTGCTTTAAATATTACAGCTACAATATAATTCGGTGGTTGTACTCATATAGTCCTATGTGTAAAAGTATATTAATCTGATTCTGTCATACAATCCAGACAATAAAAGCAACAAACAGTAGCATTACCTGTGGATGCTGAGAGGTAACTGCAGGTCCTTATGTTATTACAGATTCAAACATAAGTGCAGGAAATGTTGTTAATGTTGCAATATTAAAGAATTATAGCATCATTAAATTCATATAGTACAATTATAGCATTTATTGTGTTATGCTGTAGTGTGCTAGTCCTTCTCCACTCATGATGCTCATGGTCACATGCAATTTCCAGGGCCTTTTATGATCTATGCACGTAATTTGTCATTTACATATACAGTACACCCATCATTTCCATAGGCTGTTTTGCTTGATTTCACTCTAGCAGGATGTGATGTTGCTTTTTCATTTTACTGTCACAAATTCAGCTAGCTCGTTTGGTTGATGTCACAGACTCTGTAGTTTCGCTGCAGTTCACAAAGAGGAAAAGACACAACCTCGTTCAGAGTCACATATTTAAACAAGAACGGATTGTCGAGTATACTTTCAACAAATGACAGGCAGTAGTCCTTCAGTGTCAATTTTATGTTGTTTGCATGTTTGTCATGGTGTGCACGGTGCTCATAAGAGGCGGTCTGATTTGTTCCTTACTGTTTTGAATGCATTTCCATAGTCAAATTCTGCTGGAAAAGAGCAGGGCTGACTTAAACAGCAGATGCTTTTTGTTTTATTTTGTTTTATTTTTGTTTTATTTTCTTGATTGAGACAGTAGTGGACTGTTATTTTCATTTTTCCGTAGAAAATTGATGCAAATTCTTTACGCATCAAAGACTGTTAGTTCATTCCTTGATGGTTTTCCTCACTATTCTCTATCACTACAGTGATTCTTCTAACATGGAATAGAATTAGTTAGATGTACTCAGTTCCATATAGAATTGGGATAGATTTCTGTTTTTTTTTTTTTTTCTAAAGCTTTTACTTCTATTCAAGTATATACATTTTCACTGTGTTTAATTTCATTCTTCTCTCTTGGTTCATTTCCTCGATTGCTCACACCTTTCAGCTTTCACATTTTATTTTAGACCAAAAGGGTCCAAAAAGAGGAGAGTAGCACCCAACAAATTTCAGTTCTTCAGCATTCTTATAGATGCTGAATATATTAAGAAGTTCTACTGCAGTTCTATAAGTAACACAGGACTTAAAAACATTCTGACTTCATATTTTTTATTTCCTAGGCTACTTTTACTTCTGCCCGAGTCATTATATCTTGTAAGAAAATGTATCTTCACTTGAGTGTATGTTTTACGATTAATTGTGTTATTTGTACACTGTTTGTATCTTTAGACAGCATTTAATATGAACATGATGTACCAATTTGTCTTTCTTGTTCATCTGATCAGTGTAGATGTGCTATTATATGATGATTTGCTTGAGATGTGAATGTGGCTTGGATCAGAGTGACCTTTTTCTGTTTTGCTGTTGAGCCCCTTAAGCCTTAAACCAAGTCCACACATTGCTGAAGTTTCATAGCAGGTACTCTTAAAAAAGATGGTTCTCAACTCAAAGAACCCTTTGCATGATTTAAGGGTTCTTTGCATCAGGAAAGGGTTCTTCAGATTGATGTAAAATGTGCTGTAGATGGTTCTATATAGCACCAAAAAGGGTTTCACTATTGTTACAGGCCAAAGAGCCCTTTTTTGGTACTATATAGAACTCTTTTTGCTAAGAGTGAACCAAATAATGAATAGTATTTACTGAATAATTCAAAGTATTTTCTAGACATGTAAAAAATGTGTCAGTGCATTTGCAATGTATCGGTCTGAGGGTCAACTGATTTTGAAATGTTTTAATATTAATCAAAAAACATTTTCAGGCTATAAAAAGCTTGGTGCATTATATTCATTGTCCATATTCCACAATTATGTAATTAATGTGTATTCATCATATTTTTATCATTAGTGAAGATTCCTGATTAAATTGAATCATTCAGTGATTCGCTCAGACCTCATACAGTATTTGCTTTCTCTAGTAAATATTGAATAGTAAATCGTGAGGTTTATAACTCAACAATAAGCCTGCAGTTTAAAGGGTTAAGCCCATTGGAAATATCAGCAATGCATGGCAGAAACATGCATGGTGCAATTCGGCCAGTGCCTTTTCCTCTGCCTGGTCTCTAGAGGTCAGTCTTGGTTCAGTCCCCAGGCAAGGGCAGCATGTGGCCGAGTTGGAGCGAACTGCTGAACAGACTGCACTCTCAGCACACTGAAATATTAACCAGCAGACTAATGACTGCAGGTCCATAGCTCACACTGCTACAGACACAGCACAACACAGCCTTCTTAAAATGATGGTTCAGTCAAGAATCAACACAATTGTCCCCCAAAAGTAGTGAATCAGCCGTGACGTGTGGTTGTTTGCTTGTGCTGCAGCTATGAGGCTAATGTAGCTAACAAAAAAAAAGCTTATAGCTGCCAGGTTAGCATTGGGCAAACTACATTTGTAAAGTGTCACACATTTTCTTTCATCCGTGTTGATTTGTCAAATAATGTCAAAAAGACTTGCTTATGTGACAAATTAAAACAGTAGCAGCAGCTACTATCACCATCTTGAAACCTGAATTATGTCTGTACTTTAGTTTATTTGTTTCTTTCATGCAGAGTCAGCATTTGTTAGAGAAGATTCCTAATTAAAGTCCTCATATGATATAGTAAATATTGAGGTTTATAACTCAACAAGAAGCCTGCAGTTTAAAGATGTAAGCCTATAGGAAATATCAGCAATGTGCGGCAGAAACATGCGTGGTGCGTGCATGAATGGAGAAATGGTTGTAAATGAATTGACAAGCATTTGATTATGAGTATGGCAGAGTCTCAGTGAGTGAGAGTGCATTTGTATATGTACGGTACTGTGCAAATTGAGCGACCGCAATTCATTGATTTAATTTCCAAAAATGCCATTATGTACAAGTCATTCATTTTCAGTGTCAGGAAAAAAACAGAGAAAACATATATTTTAACAGAAAATTACACAGACGCCTCAACAACTAAACATATCACATTTTTTCAGTATTTAGTGTTCAACCATTGCTTTTATTACAGTTTCCCTCTTTAGAGAGACTTGCTTCCAAATTTTCCAAGTAATCCAAAGTTCAGTCTTAGAAGTTGGTTGCATTTTCTGCTTTCTCTCAATCCAAATATTTTTTCTGAGAACACCAGCAGCTTCTTTGATTTGCCTATTGTTCTCCTTTTATGTCTATTTTCTCTGTCTTTTAAAAATTTTATGGACTTTAGTTTTGGCAGCTCATGCAAGTGGATCATCTTATATGTAATCTCCCCACACACTTAAAAAAGATGGTTCTTCAAGGGTTCTTTAGATGAAGAATATGATTCTATATAGAACCATGAACAATCAAAAAAACCTTTGCATAATTAAAGGGTTCTTTGCATTGTGAAAGGGCTCTTCAGATTGATGGAGAATGTGCTGTATATGGTTCCATATAGAACCTTACGATAAAGCACCTACATAGCACCAGAAAGGGTTCTTCTTTTCTTACGATGTCAAGCCTGTAACAATAGAAGAACCTTTTTGGTGCTATATAGAACCCTTTTCAAAAAGGTTCTACATAGAACCATATACAGTACATTCTCTGTCAATCTGAAGAACACTTGCAACATGCAAAAAGTTTCTTTGTGTTTTCATGGTTCTAAGGATCCCCTGAAGAACCATCTTTTTTGAGTGTGCAGAAATATCTCCATAATAACTGAATGGAAATTGAATAAATGAAGGGTGTATAATACATTTTAACAAGACTAAATACGACGGTAACACAAAATAAAAAAAAGATCTGTGTATGCAGTTTTGTTCAGAATCTCCCTCTTTATGTTCATTGGTTTCTCACTCCTCTTTCTTTTTTCATCACTTCTACCTTCTTCTTTGAGCCTTCTTTTTCTCATAGGTTGCACACAGTGTGAGCTGTCCTTTCTTAGCAGTAGACATATGTGCCAAACGTGACAGTATGTGACATCATCTCAGTGGGAGGAGGGAGGGGGTCAGTCAGGCCAACCAAGAAACAGCACAGAGTCTACACACTGGATTGCTACAGTGTGTCACCAGCTTTTGATTCATGTTCAGTGTGTATTGTGCAGGAGTTTAAAACTCTGACTCACTTATCAGAATTTTTAGGAAATTATTCAGTGCATCATGATATCTCAAATTTCATAATTCGATTTGATTATTTTGGTACGATTCTGAATTATTTTTAAAAATATTCTAAAATACACAAATGTGACTGGAGAAACTATTTACACAGAAGTGGAATATAGACAATAAAATCAATTCACCAAGTTTTACTTTCTAAGCACATATATTTTGACGAAGTGTCATATTTCAATAAAGCCAACCCTGTATTTTAATGCAATAGATCATAATTCTAATATCCTTCAACCTTCAAGTTGATGGATCATGGTGCAGTGGGACATGTTTACAGCTCTATATGATGCTGTTACAGGAACCTGCTCTAGACAGGAACTCACCTTCTGTACTTGTGTTGCACTTTTCTCGATTCTCTCTGCTCTGATCAGCTCAGCCAACCCACCATTGGCACTACCAGCTCATATTTCTTAAAGGCCATAATCATGGTTCTGAGAAATTCAGAAAATCACTCGGCTTTTTCTGGAGACTTAATTGGCTATGACTTAATTGGCTATGACGTATTAGGTTTGAGAGCAGGAGCATGTTTGTATGTGTGTGTCAGTGTGAGTGTGCATGGGGAGGACATGAGGACCAATAAGACCCCACAGCTATGTACCGTGTACGGACATGAGCAAAGATAGATGTATAGAGATCTCTCTCTCTCTCTCTCTCTCTCTCTCTCTCTCTCTCTCTCTCTCTCTCTCTCTCTCTTTCTCTCTTTCTCTTTTTTTCTCTCGGGCTTTGTTGAAAGGAATTACATTGAACTGTTCATTGCCAAATCAACGAAATTAGTTTTTAATATTAATAGTGATACAGAAAATAAATAAAGAAGAGAAAACATACATATAGGTGTCAATACATATTAACATACAACACTGCACACGTATCTTTAAACACACAGTATTGTGTAAATTGTGTGAAGTTATACAATTTCGGTGTCAAGAAATGAAGTAGAACCATATTTAACAGAAAATTAAACAGATGCTTTAACAATTAAAGTCAATAAAAAGGTATAAAAATAAGAAAATTTGCAAACCAAACAAAGAAGCTGCTGGTGTTCTCGGGACAATGGACTCACCACCCCAGGGTCCAGACCTCAACATCAC